AGAAGTTGCACTTATTCGCTCCATAACGTATTAATCCTCAACGCATTTTTGTTATCCGTTTTTGTTCTTGTTTTCGTTTTGTTCTGTAATAGTTTATAAATAAATAAATGTTACATAAAAATAGTAGTGGTGATCAGAGTTCAAACCAATAGTATTCTAGTTCCTGATTCTTGCCGCTACAGTAGCCTGTAGGGTGTCGACCTCTAGGTGGGAGAATCAAAAACCACCGAGGAAAGAAATAAGGGAAATGCTCGATCGGTAAAGTAGACAAGAAATTTAGGTTTTTGTATTAAGATAGAAAGAGATGGAATGATATAACATATAGTCCGTACGTATATACATATGTAGGTAATTCTAGAGAAAGAAAGAGAGAGAATGAGTGGAGGAAGAGGGAAAAGTAATAAAGGTGAGGTTTAATACACCAAGCGCGAGTGTGGTGTACAAATTTTCTGTCTCCCCTGTGACGTTTCTTCTTCTCTATCCGGAAAAGAATCGGTGTGTAGAAAAAAGATAGAAAGGTCAATAGTAATCTAATGAAAGAAGATCAATGCATATGACAATAAGATTTAAGTTGACTTCGCGTTCAACGTCTACCTAGGGCTAACGTTGATACACGAGGTTCAACGTCGAGAAACGTACTCGCAAGCATCGTCTCGTTTGTGCGCGCATTAGTGACATCGTTATCCCTCTTTTTTCATTTACTTCTTATATTTTCTTTTTATCTTTGTGATAACGGTGTACGAAAGAATCAAGGCGAATGACAGAACACGCACGAGACGACGAACCTAACCTCAGGGAGGAGCGTGCCACTCCGCCGCGTAGGATTCGTCACCGGTGAGTTAAAAAGTGGTTTGCGCTTTTGCGATAATATATTGAATTATCTCTCATTTTAATTGCTCATTATCGTATTTTAGAAATTATTTATCAACTTAGTATTTATGCAATTAATTATTTTATTTATTCGAAAATAAATTTGATTAGAAAAATTTATTTCCGAGTGACGCGGGTTGCCTGGAAACACGCCACGCTTTGACCCGACCAATCAAAACGCTCCTTCGCGTCGCCTGACTCGCCGCTCAGCGAATAGGAATACATCTATCAACTTTTGATTACTTCACGTGCAGATCTATAAACGTCACTGTGTAGGAGTTCCCTTTTATAAGAGAACTAATATATATTTTTCTTATTCTTTTTTTTAATATTTAACACGTTCTTTTATTTCATTTCTTTATACATTTTATTTATTTTTAATATTCGCGCGAACGCGTCCGCGTTATTTATTTTTATTAATGACATACTTTTTTCTATAATTTAATTGAATAATTATTTGAACATACATATGATCTATATTTATATAAACAAATCATTGAGTATTGTAGTAACGAAACCCCACGTGACAAATGACAGATTAATTACTAATTAAAACTAAGTCGAGTTAACGAATGGTTGACTTGATGTGACGACTGAAAAAAGAATGACAACACGGTTTGTGATTCAATAAACGTCTTAAAAGTAGTGAGATACTTCCGAGACACAAATTGACGTATTATGCAACCAATTTACAGGTTATATTATGCGTACTACTCGCGAACATGAGATATAACATGTTCAAAATATCATACAATAGAGAATAACTTTGTTTAAAATCATCATATACATATGTACATATTTTTAACGCGTCTATTATTAACATAATTTACAATTAAAAATCATCCAATCGTTTTTATTATTTCAATACTGAATTAAAAAAAAATAATAATATATGTGCGTGCCATTGTGTTAATTTTGTTTTCTAACATTTATTATTTTTATTTCCTCTTTTTACTCTTTAATTATTATTATTAAAATACTCGTGGTCATATTTACATATGTAACAAAATTTATGGTTAGTAATTATGTGAAATATTTAAATAATATGTAAATGTATTTACGTAATGTAGTGAATTATTTTGTTGGCATTGGATACCTTACGAAATAAATAACATTCCATTGTTCTTTTTGTTATGATAAGAAAAGTAATAATGTAATAATAATTTTTACAAAAGAAAATGGGTATAAGGCTCGTTGAACCTAATCGCGAGGCTCATATTATAATGTAAAAATAGTGACTAGTCATCTTAAAGATAACATCTGTCATTTTTATAATTAACCTTTCATAGATAAGTATGGTAAGATATTTATATCGATCTCATGCTTGTAATAGAATTTTATATATTCCATTTTTAATATTTATTTTGATTATATTTTGTTTTCATTAACGCGAAGTATTTCTCAATGTATTTATAAAAATACCGGCGTCTTGGGTGATAAGTAATGATCGAATTAATTCTAAAATTAATATAGATTAATTCTAAAGTCGAAATTATATCTCATTTGCCATGCTAAATAAGAAATCATATTTCCATCGATAGTTTTTTTTTTTTCAAGGCCGACCTTTTCCAATAATATCCTTTTTATTAAAAAAATCAATTCATTTGGAAGTGGATCATTAATTGTGCAATGATTTATATATGTATCTATCAATATTGTAAGTATGTTTAACATAAATAACGTTATCAAGTATGAAAAAAAAAACTGAGTTGCATGATTTAAAATGAAAGACCATGCAACATTTGCATGAAAAATTATGTTCCGATAACGTAATCATTGTAATATTTAGACAATATATTCTAATCACGTGTTTTAACATACGAGTTGTATAAGTTCAAACAATTTTTTAAACTCGTATAATTATGAGAAACAAAAAAAGAAAAAAAAAGAGAGAGAGAGAGAGAAAGAATGGAAGAACAATTTAAATTTCAATTGACCAACAAAAATGATATTGCAATATAACGAAATGTTAAAAGATTTAAAAAAAATTAATTAAACGATACTTTGCATGACAAACAAGCATCTTCGATCGCGTTATGGGATGCAATTCGTGTCATCAAACCATTCGTGCGGATTGCATCGATTCTCGAGATAATGATAATAATAATAATAATAATTCTTGTTACGTTTAATGACACGTTCTTACTTTTAAATTAAATCCAGTATAATGATCATTATTTTACATGATAATAATTGTTGTTTGTTATCTTGCATTTTATTTGCACTAAATGATTTGAACCGCGCAATTTCTTTATAAACGAAGGAAAAGAAAAAAGATAGGGAAAAAAAAGTGGACAAGTAAGGAAAAGGATTTCCGCGATTTCTACTCAACTCTGATTGTGAGAAAAAAAAAATAGAGAGAGAGAGAGAGAGAGAAAATGTTCGTATTCCTGTTTCTTCTATTGCATAATTATCTTCGTAATTATCTCAATGCTGTAGAATAATTCTTAAGAAAGTAACGAACGTGTATGGTGCATGTTAGAAATTATCAAAGACACAAGCTCGACTTTCTTTTACGATTTTATCGTTTAATTCGTTGCGTGTGTATATGTTCGTGTCTCTCTGTGTGTGTGTGTGTGTTTTTTTTGTCTTGATACTATTAAAAATAAATACAAAAATCAACTAAACTTATAATCATCATTGAAACGATAAACACGATTCGTTAATATAAAAAAAAAACATATCATAAAAGTTACATAAACTTTAATATATTACAGGGTTAGATAAAAATCGTTGTTTTTTCATGAAATAATTTGTGATTGCATAAAAATTAACGAGAGATTTGGATTTGTTATAACAATTGATAAAAAAAAAACGGATCATTCGAAAACAAGCAATCCCTTTGCAATATGTAAATTCATAATAATTAAATGTAAATTAATTCGAATAATTTTGATGAAACACATTCAAATAAATAATTATATATATATATGTAGAAAAGTAATTATAATCTGACCCTTGAATATTCGTTCGAATTTTGTTCTTCCAACATGGCAGTCATTTTTTAACGACACTTCTTCGACACTTTATCGCGTTAACGATTATTACTCGTTCCACCGAATATTTAAAAAAAACAAAACAATCGTTAAAGAAACAAGATAAAATAAGATCAATACAATATCTGAAAACTTGCACAAGACAAAATGAAGTATCCTATTGTTAACGTTTAAAATGATTGGACGTCATCGTCGAGACGTACTTTGATTTTAACGTAAATGAAGAAAGAAATAGGCATAACTGATGACAATGTATTTTGTCGGTATACTTAACGATACTTGTTTGTCGAGAAAAACGTGTTAAAAACAAACGTGGGGTGGTGGGTGGGGGGGGGGTTGAGGAAAAAAAAGAAATGTCGATTAAATATGATTCGATTTTTGAGGATGACGAGAGGAGTGGGGGTAAGGTGTTGAAACGGGGTGGGGTGAAGGAGAGAAGGGGTTTAGGTTAATATGGGGGATAGATACGAGTAAAAGTCAAGGACATTACATAAATAATACTCACGAACTTTGAACTGTGTTAATATTGTCGTATCCGGTCATTTGTATATTCGATTTTTTCTTCACAACTTGGCTTATCGATAATATTATTATCGTTTCTCGCGAACATTAATACTTTAGACGAAGTGTTCGCGGCATCGTCACAAGTCTCAGTTAACATTGTTGCTCCGTTTAGTTTACTATCATTTATTGTTAGTTTTCATTTTTATTTCTTTTTTTATTTTTCTTCATAATCATCGTCATCATCTTTTTACTTTTTCGTTGATACACACTTTCAACACCAACTTTGTAAGGGGGGCATTCGAATTTTTCGTATAATTACCCCCTCTTCCCATCCCCTACCCCACATCTCGATTAATTCGATACAATTGTGTTTGAATTAATTATTTGTTTAAATTATTATCGAACAATTCTACGGTGAGTGAGATATTCGTACACACGAAACGAGGTTTATACTCTAAGAATATAAATTCATACTACTTCTACGAGTCAAATATACTACTACAATCGTGTGTTTGTATAGGCACAATACAAACCTTCTCGTGGATATCAAAGAGAGACACGTATCGTTTCAAGGCCGATAAATATCTTTGTAATGTTTAAATCGTCAGTATGATTCAAGACACACGGATGATAGGATCTAACTGAGAAGATTGAACTATAAGGAAAAGAAAAGAAGAAGAAGAAAAAAAATAAATAAATAAAGGATAGAAAGAAAGTGAAAGAAACACGAATAATTAAATAAGATAATTGTGAGAACATCTGTGTACAATTATAGTATGCTACGGAATCTTCTGAACGCAATAACCGGTATTACAATTTAATATCAAAAAGTTTTATTCGTTTCCCCATTCTCTCTCCAATTCGTGATCTAATAATCGATTATAATAAATAATAATAATAATAATAATCGATAAAGTAAATTATTAAAAGTGTCAGACCACCTGTCGTGGGGTATCCTCTTCAACGTGCTCATCAAAAAATTATTTCTAATATTTTTGTTGGTAATCAACGGTTTGGTGTCCGTTACAACTGGTGTCCGCAGGTGGTTACAGGGGATTCTGTACGAGCACGAGGAGGAACCCCCCTGGTGGTGGTGGTTGTGGTGGTGGCGACAGTGGTGGGGGTGGTGGTCCTCCCTTTTAAGAAGGGTGGTGAGGGATTGGCTCGGTCATAGACCTCTCAACGGTGAGTAGAAAGCCTTTCTCAAGCTAGGAAACACATCTCTTCTATTGCTTCCCAAACAGATTATCATCGATTTCTTAGGTTATTTATTTACCATGTTATTCTTCTTACAAGAATTTTAAAATCTTTCTCTTTCTCATTTGTAACAAGTAAATACATTGTTATCTTTACTCAATTTTTCTTCAGTTTTATTGTCATCAATTTAAACAAAATCATTAGATGCTTGTTTGCATGCATGCATCATCGGGTTGAAAATATTTGGACACCTGAAAAACTACGTTCTCTTTCATTGCTAACATATTCACAAATGTTTTAACCTTATCCGTATGAAATTATTAATGAGGATAGAAATGAAATATTCATTTTGAAGTAATAGTAAAAATGTTTCATTGTTCTTAATGATATATATATATAGGAAAAATACTTCCTTATTTTACTAACTCAATTAGGATTTTCACATTTAACATTTCCATTGACGTGGTTATTCCGATAAAATATTCTAATTGGGTTTTTTCTAATGATTTCTTTTTTTCTTTTTTGTTCTTTCAAAGTATACGTTCATATCGTGTGAGTTAGAAGCTTTTGCAGTTGCACGTTTTAATTGGTAAAGAAGAAAAATTCGACGTCTGTTAGGTTCACGTAAATGATTATCATTCATCCATCTTTAGAAACGATGAACTTTGAACGAGTTCCTTGCATGTCATTCGTTCTCATAAAATTCATGGAAGAATACCTAAACTGTACATTAATATAACTGTTCGTCAAGCACCCAAGCGTGTACAACAATAATACTCTTCCTCAGTTTGATATAATCGGTTTAAAAATTATATGCAAAATTACTCTCGAGATTATTGTTTCAATAAAAAAAAGAAAAGAAAAACAAAAAGTAATTCTAATTCGGTATTTTTGTTTAAGTGCAATTTTTTCAATTACAATTATAAAAATAACGTAACCGAGTGTTATAATATTTTAACAATAATTAGTGATAAGATTTTTCTTCTAACGATCCATTTAAATAATTAGAAAATTTGTTTACTCATTTTACAATTATTCCTATACGCTTGGTAATTAAATAAAATAACAAAAAGTCATCGTTTAACGTATCACAAGCAACATTTGCATATGCATATCACATACGGGGAGGTTTATACGATTAAACCGGAAATTCTATTTATACGAAGAGTATAGTTTAGTAATATTATTTTCATGGGATCCATCTACCACACACATCGGATTGGCCATTAATTGTGATCATTCTTTTATAACAAATATTTATTTTCTTTGTTCCTTATTCTTTTTTTGTTCACCAACGAGATTACTTAGAATTGCGTATACGCGAACTTGTTTTGAAGGTAACCAGAAGAAAAAATCATCAGAAGAATCTCAACCAAGGACTTCTTCTTCTTCCTCATCATCACCATCATCATCATCATCATCATCATTGTGTTCCACAAGGAAAGAAGACAACTTTGTTAGCATCGTTGAACCCCCATCTTCTTCTTCTTCTTCTATTTCTTCTTCCTTCTTTTCTTCTTCTACTTCCTTTTGGTCTATTCATTCTGGTGATATTAAAGAAGATAAATTAAAGATGTCTGAAACAACACCTGTAAGCTTTGTCGTCGGGGAACCTGACCCAGACGCTGACGAAGAGTTGGAATTTGGTGATAGTTTTCCAATCGAAGGAAATGATGCCAACAATCCACAAACTCAACAACTTTCCGTACCACCTGGATTGGTCGAACGACGTAAACGACTCAGGTGATCATCATCAGATTTTTCTTTATTTAATCCTACCCCACCCCATGCTTTATTTCCCCCTACTCTCTCTCTCTCTCTCTCTCTCTCTCTCTCTTTCTCTTAATTTCTAAGAAATATGTTGTTTTTTCTTTTTTTTCAAACGATTAAGATTTATTATACCATTAATTTAAATATAATATCTGAATATTTAAATTATAATATTAATTATTATCCAACAATAATAAATTTTGACTATACCCTTATGCTAATTTTTTTTTATAATGATTAATAATAATATATGATCGATGAGGGGTTTTTAAAAAAAACTGTTGTCTACTAAATATTTTTTTGTTATTTCTTTTTGTTTTCAATAATCATCATGATTATAATATAATACAATTGGATATTTATATTAGATAGGAAACTTTGATCGAACTTTTTCAAATGTATACTCTATTGAATATGTATGCCGATTTCATTGTTTTAAAAAGTAAATACCAATGTTTTTTATATTATTTTTTTTATTTATTTACTTTTTATGGTATTATTGCTCGTCAATTTTATATCACATATCAAATGGATGGGATATTTAATTTTCAACGTTGCATATGAGGTAATTGACGATTATCAAAATATTTATATGGAAGAGACCATTGAAAATTTTCCTTTGTAATAATTATTAACATTTTTTTTTATCTCAATTTTA